AGAACACAAACGAACGATAACGAAAAAAAACCCCCCCCCCCCCCCTCCCATGCGAGAGAAGGGGGACGCGAAAGACGCACTGAAGAGCCACTGCGTCGCGCTCGCCGTCGCGAGCCCGTAATGCCTCGTCCGCGTCGGGAAAATATCGCTCACGTACACCCACGGCAGCGGGCCCCATCCCATCGAGTAAAAACAGACATAGATGTAAATCATGCCCGCCATCGCCTGGCTCGCGCGCGGCGGGTGGGAGGGGGAGCCGCCGGCGGGGGGCGCGGGCGGCGGCGGGTGGGTCTTGAGGATGGCGCCGATGATGAAGAAGAAGGTGCCCATGCCGAGGGCGGAGACGAGCAGGGAGAGCTTGCGGCCGAGGGACTCGACGAGGAAGAAGACGAAGAGGGCGGTGGAGACGAGCTTGACGACGCCGTAGATGCCGGAGGCGAGGAGCGAGGGCGTTTGGCCCGTGTATCCGATCTAGCGAGGGACGTGCGTGCGTGCATATATGTCAGTTTTTTATTTTTTATTTTTTTAAGCTTCGATTCCGTGGGGGAGAGGAAGAGGAAAAAGACACGCAACGGATTTAAAGATCTGGGGCGCGTAGTAGTTGACGCTGTTCTGGCCGGACCACTGCTGGAGGATAAAGATCACGATCGCGATCACGAACCGCGGCCAGTTGCCGCGCCCGAGGAACGCCTCCTTCCAGCCCAACCCCCTCCGCGCGGCGCGCTCTTCCGCGATGGCGGCCTCGATCTCGGACAGCTCGCGCCGGACGGCGGGGTCGTCGGGGGGGAGGCGCCGGAGGTAGGCGAGGTTGGCGAGGGCGTCCGGGGAGCGGCCGACGGCGGCGAGCCAGCGGGGGGATTCGCGCACGGTGAGGAGGCCGAGGGACATGATGCCGGCGGGGACGAGCTGGAAGCCGAAGGGGATGCGCCAGACGCGGGGCGAGTTGGCGAGGGAGGGGTTGAGGCTGATGCCGTCTGTTGACGGAACCGGCAAGCGAGTAAAAAAACGTGAGCGAGAGAGGAAAAAAAAAAAGGGGGGGGGTGCGTGCGGGGAGCTCGGGGAGAAGGGGGGGGGGTGAAAGGAAGCGAGGTAGGGACGTACAGTTCATAAAGTAGGAGATCATGACGCCGAGGGCGACCATGATCTGGAAGAGGCCGGTGATGCGGCCCCGGACGTCCTTCGGGGAACATTCGGAGACGTAGGCGGGGGCGACGGCGGAGATGCCGCCGATGCCAAAGCCGGAGATGACGCGGCCGGCGTAGATGAGGCCGAGGCCGTGCGAGCCGCCGCCCGCGACCGTCGTCAGGATCTGCGGAGACGATGCTCGTAAGAAGGGGCGAACTCGAGAGACGAATAAAAAAAAAGCAGGGAACGCACGGCGCCGACGGTGAAGACGAGCGAGTAGGCGACGAGGGTAAGGCGCCTGCCGATGCGGGAGGAGAGCGGGGCGGAGGAGAGGGCGCCGAAGAAGGCGCCGGCTTGGAGGACGGAGACGACGTTGGACGAGACGTCGTTCGCCTTCTTGGTGTTGGTCGTGCCGTCCGGGTTGAGCATGTGGAAGCGGGTCTCGAAGTACTTTTGGGAGACGACGCCACCGGCGATGCCGGTGTCGTACCCGAAGAGGACGATGCCCCAGTAGGCGATGAACGCGAGCCCTGGACGGTGATCATGTGAGCGCGAGCGGCGAGGAGGAGGAGAGGAGGGGACGGACAGTAGACGCGGATGTTCTGCAGGACGCTCATAGTGGCCACCGGCGTAGACGTCGAGGAGCGCAAAGGGCAGGAGCGCGTCCTTCCTCGCTTGCACCGTCCGGTCCTTATCTGCCGTCATCGGACCTCACGCTGCTCCGGACAAGGTTTCCATACCGTTCCCTCCCAAACTCGGTAGCCCCGTCCGAGTCTGGGCGCCGAACCGCGGCGGAATCGAAAGCGAATGAATGGGCGGCGGGAGGGAGGAAGCACGCCGGGGTGCCCCCACGGCGTATCATTGATCGACCAGCTGATCCGCCTGCGCAGGTCGAAGTATGGTATAGCGCCTGCTATCTGGGGACGCGTTCCCAGAGGAGCGGCGAGGGGGAAGGTCATGGGGTTCGGGGCTCGGTTTCCCGTTCGGGATGGGCTTCGGAAAGAGGGGGGCACATAGCCTTTGAGAGGGGAGGAAGAGGTGGTGCGCGCGACGCTGTAGTCAGACTCAGAAACACGAGACGATTGCGCCCCGTCGGATCCACGGGACGAGCAAAACGCCCCGGCAAAGTCGAAGGAAAGGCCGGGTCGCCGGATCGTCATCTGCGTGGGAGGGAAAGCATTACAGTCGCAGCGGCGAGATTGAATAGCAAAGTTGCCGATGGAAAGCTACATACGTGCACGGCGGGACTGAGCCGGTCGCGATCCTGCAATGCACGGCGCGAAGACAGAGCACTGAGCAGGGTGCATGAAGAGCGAGATTGGGGCACAAATTCGGTCCAAAATATGCATTACACAGCCACGATGACGATAAGCGCCCGCTACACAGCCGCATCTTACAGGCGCTCAGCTCTGCGTGTGAGCCTTGCCTCGCCTCGCCACGCCCTTCTTCCCCAATACCTCGCGTCGAGGACCAAGGCATCCACCATGAAGCTCGTCAGGTGAGTACCAGCTGACTCGCCCCAGCGTGATCGAGGAAGGATGCAAAGGGATGCTGGAGCAACACAAAAAAAAACCTGGATGGAATGGGAGCGCGCGCGATTTGGTTCCAGAACGCATGCCTCCGCCTGAAAGATCCGTGTACTGATGTCTCTTTCTTCGCCCCCGATAGGTTTTTGATGAAATTGAACAACGAGTCGGTGACGATCGAGCTCAAGAACGGGTCCGTCGTGCACGGCACCATCACCGGTAACGCACTCTCGTCTTCATTATTCTCGTCGAATCTGACCTCAATCCCCCTCCACCCAACGATACGCATCGCCCCTCAACACCACCACCACCACAAAAACACACACCCTCTCTACCACCCTCTCTACCACCCTCACCCCCGGCCCCCCCGGCACGCCAGGCGTCGACATGCAGATGAACACCCACCTCAAAACCGTCAAGATGTCGATGCGCAACCGCGAGCCCGTCAGCCTCGACACGCTCTCCATCCGCGGCAACAACATCCGCTACTTCGTCCTCCCCGACGCCCTGCCCCTCGACACCCTCCTCGTCGACGACGCCCCCAAGCCCAAGGGCAAGAAGAAGGACGACGTGCGCGGGCGCGGGCGCGGCGGGCGCGGGGACCGCGCGAGGGGGAGGGGACGCGGGAGGGGCCGGGGACGCGGGTTCTGATTTTGGGAGCTTGAGCGCGCGCGATGTAATGCCGCGTTGCGCGTGTTGTTGGACGGCCCCCTCGGGTCGGTGTCGGGCCCATCGACGGGCGAGAACCGTGGTCCCGAACGGTGCAGGGGGGGAGGCCTACGTGTTTGTGTTTTTTTTCGGCTATCTGCCCCCGCGCGCCCGCCATCCTCCGTGGTGCGTCGAAAGAACGAGAAAAATTCACGGCGTATTTCGTGAACATGCGCCCCCCGTCTGCGTGTAACTCCATCCCCCCCCCTTGCGCCGCGCATAGTGTAATGCATGAACGATATTCACAGCAGCGCCAAAGGAAAGATGACTCGCAAAAAACGCGCCCTCTGAGCCATGATATTATATCATGTAGTACGACGATGACTCTCGGACCGAAGCCCTGTGTGATACAGTGTACACGATAAATTTGAACGCAACGCGTCGCGTCACCGCCGACCATGCTCCGCCGTCTCTTCTCGACCGCGACCACCGCGCCCGGGTTCAGGTCGGGTCTGCCCCCGACCATCAAGCAACTCCTGGCCTCCCCAAGCATCCCCGTCGGTACGGGCACTCCACCCGCAGCAGCAGCAGCAGCAGCAGAAAATGTGCAGGTCCACGGCTGGATCAAATCCGTCCGGCGCCAGAAACGCGTCGCGTTCGCGGTCGTGTCCGACGGGAGCTCCGCCCGCGGCCTCCAGGCCGTCTTTCGCGACCCCGAGCTCGCCAAACCGTGCGTATATATCTATATATATATATATGCGGGGGGTTACCTTTCCGCGTTGTTCGCTCTTCGATCATGCCGATAACGTCTCGTAATATCTAGGTTGACGAACGGCGCGAGCGTGCGGTTGACCGGGCGGCTCGTGGAGAGCCTCGGGAAGGGGCAGGATAGGGAATTGCAGGTCGACGGGGTCGATGTCATCGGCGAGTGCGACCCGGAGGTAAGCGTGTCCGTATCCGCTCGCCTACGCCTCTGAGACGGTCACGAATGGGGTAGACGTATCCGATACAAAAACAAGCGCTGTCGACAGAGTACCTCCGCGACCACTGTCATCTCCGCACGAAGACGGACGCGATCGCGTCCATGCTCCGGCTCAGGGACGGCGCCGCGTCCTCCTTCCACCACCATTTCAGGGTGCGTTGTCCCTCCTCAAGTTTTACATCTCCCTCACCTCCTCACCCCCCACATCTAAAACGACAGGACCTCGGGTTCGTCTACACCCACACACCCGTCGTCACCTCCAACGACTGCGAAGGCGCCGGCGAAACCTTCCGCATCACCCACCCCTCGCCCGTCCCATCGTCGCCCGACCGCTCCCCTTCTCGCACCCCTCAAGCACCGGCCCCACCGTCCACGGACGAGTTCTTCGGCCGCCCGGCCTACCTCACCGTCTCCTCCCAGCTCCACCTCGAATCCCTCGCCGCCGCCCTCTCGCGCGTCTACACCCTCGGGCCCTGCTTCCGCGCCGAACGCTCCCAAACCGGCCGGCACCTCGCCGAGTTCTGGATGCTCGAGGCCGAGTGGACGTTCGTCGACCGCGTCCGGGACGTGTGCGACGTCGTCGAGGGGTCCGTCAAGCGCGTCCTGCGCGACGCGCTCGCCGGCGCCGAGGTCGACGAAGCGCGGCGCGCGGCGTTGGAAGACGCGGCGAGGGCGGATAAGGCGTGGGCGCGGATGAGCTATACGCAGGCCGTGCGCGCGCTGGAGGCGAGCGGACGGGCGTTCGCGTTCGAGCCGAGGTGGGGCCAGGCGTTGCAGAGCGAGCACGAGCGATGGCTCGCGGAATCGCTCGTCGGCGGCCCGGTGTTCGTGACCGACTACCCGGCCGCGCTCAAGCCGTTCTACATGCGCGCCAACGACGACGACGACGACGACGGCCGGCGGACCGTCGCGTGTTTTGATCTGCTCGTGCCCCAGCTCGGCGAGCTGGCGGGCGGGTCGTTGAGGGAGCATAGGGTGCATCTGTTGGAGGAGGCGATCGGGAGGCACGGGCTGGAGAGGGAGGCGTACGAGTGGTATGTGGATTTGAGGAGGTACGGTGGGGCGCCGCATGGCGGGTTCGGCTTGGGGTTCGAGCGCTTGATCGGGTGGGTGGGCGGCGTGGAGAATGTGAGGGAGTGTATAGCGATGCCACGATGGGCGGGGAGGATGCTGCTGTGAGACCGGCGACAGTAGTGAGGGTGGAAAGGTTACGGTCACGAATGTCGTTTCACTGCTCTGGCAGCTTGACCAAACTTGTACTTTGCAGCCTTGAACGACGTCAAGCCGCCTGCATCGAGTGCTACGATCGCTTCCTCAGATACCCATATGAACATAGGTAGCCCACCGTTCCGGGGGTAGCCCTCTCTCGCGAAGCTTCCGAACAGCGGAATCGAGTGCTCGAGGGATCAAGCTGGATTCCTCGTATCCGCCGTTCAGCAGTGCTTCGTGGACTTCCTTTGCCACATCAGGTCCATCCAAGTCGTACATCTCCCCTGTTTCGGGGGTCAGTGCGGTGGTTCCTTGTTATTTGAGGCGGTACTCACCACATAGTGCCCACCACAGACTTGAATCCCGCAAACAACATGGATCCGGCGAGATGCACGATTTCGTCCGGTAGACTTTCGTCTCCGGCAGCTGACTCGCACGCACTAAGGAATGCAAAGAACGCTCGGGGCATCCTAGCCCTAGCGATGTCGGCTATCGTCAGCATCCCACCCTCGAGGACGAATCCGCTGCTCATGGGGTCGCCACGATCCTGTTTTGCGTGGCAAGCGAGGTGCACGACAGACGCGTGCCGAATCGCCTCGTATACGTCCGTGACCGCTGCCGCGCTGCGCCCGCCGCGGTCCGTTGGCGATTCAAGCACCTCCTGATCTATGCGTATAGTCTGTTCGGGCGGATGCAGGGTCGCTAACTGTGATACCTCTGCCGCCGCAACCGGGAGAGTAGCGTTGCCCACGACATTGGGCTGCGCGACGAGTACTACTCGGGCAGCTGAAGGAGGGACGCTGACGTCGCGCTGCTTCCGCGCTTCGACAAGAGCGCCGAGTGACGGGGTATAGGACGAGACGACGTAGTCAGATGTGCACACGCCGGATGAGTTTCCCGCGGCATGCATTGGCAAGAATGCGAAATTTCCGGTTGGGCACCACCACAGCCGAGGGCGGGCCTCGTTGCGCTTATACTGAACTCCCGCGTCAACTCGACGGATCGTGAAGAGTTCGGGAGCACTTACCGGAAGCTGCAAGGCGGCGAGGATTGGCATGACTACGTTCTCCCATACTCCCTCCAAGACGTGAGACATATTCGGTTTGGGTACCTTGACTTTCACTAGGGCTCTGCTTGGATCGGAGGTGCCGTGCTCCGAGTTTCCGCCAGGTATAGCACGATGATGTCGATTGCGCGCACTTCGCTGAGCGTGCGTGAGTGTCTCCGACCATTTTGACACGCACAACACGCTGACGTGGGGCAATGGAACGACGCAGGGCTCCTCTGTATCCGACGGTATTATAATGCCGTGTGCCACGTCGCTTGTAGCAACCAATAGTACGACGGGCCCTCCAGACGCAGCTACCCGTAGATCCTCAAACCCGGGAGGGAGTAAAAAATGCTCAAAGCCAGGGATCCGCCGAGATCGTTGCAAGAGTTCTTCGAACTCGTCGGCGAGTTTGCGCCGTCGGGAAGCTTCGGTCTCTCCAGTATCTCGGAATGATGTCAGACCCGCTTTGTCTAGGCTACGAGATACTTCTCGCAATCGAACACATAGTTCAGCCGGGAGGCCTTCAAAAGGATTTCGGAGCTGCAGAACGCCGTTCCACAATACCGCTCGTCCGTGTTCCAGAAATTCTATAGCGATGCGTGGTTGCTGATTGGATATGGCATGTATCGCAGCTGTCACACCAAGACCTTGGGCGCTCTTCAGAGCCTCCAGTCGAGATCTCACATCCATTCCGTGGTATGCAACTCGAGGCAGAAGATTCATTGCTTGATGATGAGCCGCGGAGATGGATGTTCTGTCGTTCACCTCCATTGCCACATAGATGCATCGCTCGTTGTAGCTCAATCGGCTGGTAATAGAGGAATAGGGATGATTGGCGGCCTTTGCATGGGCGCGTACACACTCTGCGGATGCGTGCTTGTCCCGTGTCACTTGAAACTGAGCATAGAAATCGTCTGCAAGGCCGGAGAGCATGGCACCGTACACCGGCCGCACGGTTGCCGTCAGACTGAGAGCAATTCTCCTGTGCTCAATGGCCTTTCCAACAAGGGCCAAGTCACCGCTTAACTTTGAATAAGATTGCAACGTATCTGCTAGGATGTTATGTGTTTCTGCAAGATCCGTATGGCCTTGAGGGCAGAGCTGCAATGCTTCGCGACAGTGACCGGTGGCCTCGTCTAGGTCAGATATGGACTCCTTCAAGGACCCGAGCCTCTGCAAGGCGTAGGCGGTATGGCGAAGCGCCTCGTATCTCGCCGGATTTCCTTGAGGAGCCAGTGCTAGATAATCACGGCTGAATTTGCATGCTTCAAAGAGAAGTGCTGGATCACAAGGAAGATTGAGCCAGTTACGTCTCTGGATATCTGCAGTCAAAAGCTCGCAAATCCAGGATATGCCAACAACGCGCCGTCTGGCGGACTTGGCCGAATCATAGCAAGTGCGAGCATGAATTGATGCTTCATCCAACTCCGATGGGTTGCCTGTCCGCTCAAACCTTCTAAAAAGCGCAATGCATAACACATGCCGTACGGACCACTCGTACCCGCATGGAGTGTTACCGACGTGGGGCAGGAGGTTTAGAATGACCTCATCTAAATCGTCCATGCTTCCGGTGTCTTCAAAGCGTGTTAAGAGCGCATACGCAAGATTGGTGGCGAGGCTGCTTGGCGGAACCACTTCAATAGTATGCTCGATTGCCTGCCTATAGCAGGCGATGGCCTCATGCAGATCTTCGCGAGTGGTATGGAAATGGGTATAACGCGAATAAAGCGCCTGCGCCAGAGAATAGAGACACCGGTGCTGATCAATCGGTATCATGCTTTCGCAGCTCCTGCAGGTGTTGCGAGCATAAGCAACTGCATCATCAAGCGCATGGATATTTCTGAGTGCCACCCCCTGACGATGGAGGCAATACGAAATAGCGCGCAGGATCCTAAAATTGCAGGGTGTGTCGGCTTCCGGGGTGTTTAGATCCTCGGTCAGTGCAGACAAGCAGGAAGTCATCTGCTGGATCGCATCACCGGCGGGATTGCTGTAGAATAACGCATTGCATGCCATCGCGCAAATAGCGGCAGGCCATGCCAGACCGCGACCTGTATCACTTCTCGTCGTCATCGCAGCCTTGGACAGCGCAAGCGCCTCCTCAAGTACGTCGGATTTGCTGGTGCGCCAATAATCAAGTGTTAGGGCGTGGGCCAGGCTCTCCTTCACCGACGCTCTCCGCTCCCTACCGAGGTTCGTCCACGAGAGTAATAAGCGGTGCAGGCGGATGCATTCGTCCATCAGTTGGTCGCCGCCAGCTTCTTCATACCGAAGAAGAAGTTGTGTTGCCAGATTATGATGCAAATCAAGATCACGCAGCCGGTTCTGCAGGTGGGCGTCAAGCGCTAGCCTGGAGGCAGCTATGGACGCGTCCATGGCAGCAAGCCAATATCTCCGCCGGCCTCGAACGACAGCGACGGTGCCCATGTATAACTCTATGTGAACTGTTGGGGTCAGTTCTCGGATGCGGATCATATCGAGTAACTCTATGCATACAATCACGATTGAATATTGTTGATTGATTCTAAGCGAGTCCTCCAGATTGGTAGTGTGCGGGGCGAGCTGGTTGCAATCGCAAGTCGGAGTCATAGTAGCACGGTACATATAGTAGCCACGCTTCACCAATTTGGGACCGTGCGATAAGCCCCACCGCCTGTGGCGCGCGAGGTGGATTCAGGCTTGCTGTGGTGGAGAGGGATGGCGGTACTTCATACGACACTCCAGGTAAGTAATGAATTGCAGCGTCTGATTTGCGCCAACGCTCCCGCCTTCATCCAAAGGTGCCGAAGCTCGAAGTGGAGATGCATCATCTTCATCAGATCTAGGAGCATTGTTGAACTTTGTATATTGTATATATAAGGAAATATCACACGCTCGTTACCTATTATGTACAGATTCTCTCACATGTTCTATTCTTGTGTTCTTCTTTGCGATCTTCTATCTTTCCTGATTGATATTACCGCTTTAGGCACATTCTTTTGTTCCCTTTATGGAAATGCTTCCCTCGAGCTCCCTCACATATACCAGGAGCTCTCCCTTCGCATCTCCTCAGTCTTTTCCCTTATACTTTGACTGAGGAGTGAGTCTGCCATGTCCCTTCATGTCCCTTATGTCCTAACGTACTTATGATGCCTCTGTAGTCATATATTAGGTACTACATGCGTAACTCAGTCTTTTCCCTTATACTTTGACTGAGGATCATATATTAGGGAATTATCGCTCTTGCCTTCAGATCCAGAAGTTCATCAGGTTATGAGCCCTGAGCTCTCGTAACTCTGAATCTCGATCGACTTTGCGCGCGTCTTTGCTGGCTGCAACTTGCCGTCTAGCTTCTTTTCTCGATCGTCCCTCTCCCTTCCTAGCCTTGGCTGTGTGACAGCCTGAGGTCTAGTGTGGCTCGTACCCCCATTCCTATCGACTCTAGCCGATTGATCGGACATTTCGGCTGTCTGGTCAGTTGGTAGCCCCAACGGGTGTTCATTTGGGGTCGAGCGTCTCTCTGTCAGTC